TCTAAAGCTGAAAATCGATAACAATTCTACTAACTTCTTCATTTCAGTTTGAAGTTGTGAACTTGTGAACTTGTGAACTTGTGTTCTAGTATCGTATCAACAATTACCACCCCATCAAGCAAAGTACTTGAACAAGGCTCGAAGCTATACACGTCATGGTGGTGAGGTGCCCTTTTGTGTTCTTCTGCACAATTATATGCATATATTCTAATTTACATATTTGCTTTGAAAAGATTTGTGAGGTGGTGACAGAAACCCAACGTGTATAGATTCCACCAGGGAAGTTCCCAAAGTCACGACCCTTAAAATGGGGGCCTTCAAGCAGCAGCGCCGTTTACCTTTATTTTATTTTCTGTCACTTTATGGTCATATAAAATAAATTAAATCCACTATACTATATAGTTGTAGTATATAATATAACATTTCATAAATTACTATAAAATTTGTGACCGTACTAGTTTATTATTAAACACAGTGTTTTGTTCAAAAGGGGGTTTGGTTTGGTCAGAAAAACAGAAAGAAATTAGGGGAAGAAATATTCGGGTTCCCCATTCTCACGTGGATTGGCCTCAAAATGAGGGATGTGTCTTTGGTCTTGTTGTCTTCTGCTAAAGGGTTGAGGTAAAGCTACCAAAACCAATCCACTCAAACCCATTTCCTTCCAAAAACCCTAATTATTTTATCACATATGGTTTTGTTTTCAAACCCACTTCCCATCCTATCTTTTCTTTTTCTTTTCCTTCTTTTCATGATTGTGGAATGTTAGATTTGATTCACTTCTCATGTATGGGTCCATGGGAGGGAGATGATCTTTAGGCCACATGATCTCTCACATTTTTGCTTATCATCACAACAAGACTAAGATCTCTCTCATCCACTGGGTTTTTTTTATTTCTTAATCCAATATATTTTAAGAAGGAAACAAGTCTCGTGACTTATATTTCAATTCCTTTACATTGTTTTATTCATCGTATTTAGAAAATATTATTAAGCATTATGCATAACGTGCTCTTCTTTTATTATAATGGGATATGAACTAAACTAAAGATATATTCAACATGAAAAAATATAGCTAAACTAAAAACTAATGTTGTACTTAGACAAATTCATATAATGGTTTAGGATCTTTTTATTCAAAGAAAGGAAGGGCAAAAAAAGATACAAAACTTACCCATTAACAAAAGTCTGGTAGAAAGTAAAATTAACTCCACATCATGGCATTTCACAGTTGTGCATAGTTGTATCGACAATATAATGTAGTGTTCATATCAAGTGTCACATGGGTTGTAAAAAAAAGTTGAGAGTAAAAATGAGTTCTGGTGCACTTCCTTTTAAGTTTTTGATACTCTGAATCTCACATTGTAACCCATCGGGATAATTTAGGGTACTTAAGCAAGGCTTATGAATCTATAGGTTCAAGATTTATGAATTTATAAGTTAACTTCATCTAGCACTTTTGGATGAGGGTTTACATTGTTCTTATATTAGAGCTTGGTTTTAGTTTACTTTTGTTGAACGCTCGTTGTCAATGTCAAAAATTTAGGACTTTGATGTTTATAACACTACCGTATGATTATGATTGATAGAATGGCCTTTAAAAAGGCACATTTGTATAAGTCTTGCAATAGGATTATTCTAGCTACTTATGAGCTTGTACGGTCACATTATTTCTACTATGTCTTCTTTCTTAGCTTTAATACCTCGTTCCAATATAAAATTAACAAGGTGACCATCTGATGAAATTTGACTGATGAATCTAGGTGGGGCCGCATTGATTGAATGTTGTTGGCGACTCCTATAAGATAGGTAAAACGTGCATATGCATCCGTTGTATACCACATATCTCATGTATAGTTATGTGCTACTCACGTGATGTTGTGAAGCGCTACTCACAAGTTTTTCTCCCGCATGAAATATATCTCCAAAATATAATATTGAAAGTATAAACTAAGCAATACTATTCTAAGCTATATATTAAAATAGGGATGCTTCAGAAAGTCTTGAATTCTTGAGAGCAATTCACAAATCACAATTAAAAACTCTGTGCTCATTGTGTAAACTCTGTGCTCACAAATCAAAAATGCCATTGGATCTAACGGCAACCTGTTCTAATCCCATTTTTCAAAGGATGATACCCTTGCATTTGTCAGAATTAATTTTTTTTTTTTAAGAAAAAAAATACTACATACAGTCCATACCGACTTGATTAGCGCGTGAATTAACACGTATTAAGATCTAATAATTTATGCAAAATGTGAAGTCACGCTTAAGGCGCATGGCTTTGTGTAGCACAATCTTGCTGAATTTGCAATCTACCATCATCGTTTCCACCCTCCACTCTTACAATTCACATGCATAAATATACATGTTCAGAAATTGCCACAGAATTTCCCATCAAACTTGTATTAATATTGGCACAAACTCAATAACTGTTCTTAAATTGCATTATCCTGTTGTTTGCTTAGATTTAAAACTATTCTTTTCCTTTTCTTTTTGTGAAGAATTACATGTTGTGATGTTGCATTGGTGGAAAAATTGAAGCTGAGGAGGACTGTGATTAGTCAGGACTGGTCTATGATCTTGAAGACCAATCTTTGTTATGTGCCCAACATAGGCATAATTAGAGCATAAAGACTTGTATAACGGGAATATCACTATTTTGCTATTCCCAACCAATTATAGATTGTCACATGAAAAAATTATCATGTGTGCTATGCTGTGATTAACCGGGGATAGCAAAATAATGTTATTTCCGTATCACACAAGTGTTTCTCTAGTTAGAGGACTGCATGGGATTTATGAGGTTTTTTTTTTATCATGCCTCTGCTTTTTGTCTAATTCAACCTCTTTATGGTATAAAACCAATGGAGAATTATTATGCAAGGGATCTTGTTTCTCTTGTATTGTCTAAGAACCATATGATTGACTTCCCCTGCATTAAATTATAAACATATTAAAACAGTTTTTACTGAAGGACTCATAGATTGACTACATGCCTGCCCATAAAATTATAGATTGAATTGGTTTGACCCACTTATGAAGCTGCCTGCAGATTCATTTGGATTTCAGTTGACCCATTTATGAGTAGAACCAACTTTCTTTCTTTCTTTAGAATTGAGTAGAACAAACTTTAAATGGCATTGGTTCAAATTAGTTATTTCATGGACATTCCCATCAAACTTTAAATAGAATTACCAAATTAAAGTTGGTTTAATAGCATAAGGAAAGAAAACAAAGGCCCTAGTTTCCCAAGTTAAAAAATAAAAATAAAAACAAAAAATGAGATTTAAAATATAAACAAAACCCAAATGAATCTGAAGAATGTTCCTAATGTATTTGAAGAATGTTTACTATCTTCTCCTTTTATTTTCTCTTCTCATTCTAATCTTGCACTTTGTTCTCATGCCATCATATTTTACTGAAAATAGTTTTTTTTGGTTGATTTTCAGTGAAAATAGTTTAATCATTTGATTATCATCGTTATCATTTTAGTGTTTAATCGAAATATTATATTCATCTATTTATTTGATAATGTATAGATGACTCAACAATTTTCCACCTATCACATAGATAATCCTAAACAAAACATTGTTTGATGGAGAAAAAAATAAGTAGAAATGAGAATATAACTAGCATTTTTAAATGTTGGAAGATGTCTCAAGTTCTCTTGTCAATTAAATTTTAAGAATATGATAGAATTTAGGGTTTCTATATGTTTTACTTAAGCCTTGTTTTCAAATTTTATATTATCGGTTCACCGATTATATTTTAAAACTAACAATATGCTTATGATCTGAATTTCAATTGGATTCAAATTAGGACATAGGTTAATTTAATCCATGTGCAATGCTTTTCCAGGCATGTACATTTTTCCTAAAATAATTTAAACCATTATGCACTTCTCACTCTCGCGAATCGAATTTGACCCGAAAAGGAAAGACTAAAAATGTTGGATTTTTTTTTTTTTTTTTTTTTTTTTTTTTTTTAAATTTGAAAAAAGTTTAAGAACATGCATTTCATCTAGTCCTAATCCAATGCAAAGCATTGCTCTAAAATAAATGGTAAGGTCCCTTGTAATCTATTCCCTTTTATAGATGTTCGACCTCTTTGCAAATAGTGTTCATTTTCTAAAATTGAACCATAATTGTGTTCCCTAATAAAATAACAAAGAAAAAAGTACCCTATAAGATTATCATGTACATGGATCACTGCCTGAAATAAAATAGCAAGTGCAACTTTATCTTCATTTTTTACGACAATTTATATTGCAAAAATATGGTAAACAAAACGTTCATTTTGGAAACATGGTAAAAGAGAAAATGGGATTCCATAAATGGATGGTAGAGAACAGAGACTCAGAGAAAAGGCCAGTTGAAGATTGAAATGTAACTGAAGCCCAGAAGGGCTTTCAATCACCAAATGCCTCAGTGTGAGAGAAAGCAGAGTGTCTGTTTGTGCATTTAGATAATGGTTGGCTTCAGATTGAGAGAAAAAACGACATTGGCTTGGAGTTGGAGCTAACTGCTTTCCTCACTTTTACTCTAATGGAGTCAAAAACTACATTAAAATAAGCATCTCATCTCTCATCATGCATACAGAGAAGAAATACATACAATATATAAATTCATGGGTCTCTGCCATCTAGTGTCTCCCTTAACCTGTGAGTGAACCCACCAAGCTTAGCAACCCCTTCAATTTTCTATTGAGAGAGAGAGAGAGAGAGAGAGAGAGAGAGGCATAAGGTGTGGGGTGGTGGTGGTGCAGAGTGTTTGTTGATCTCAAGGCAATGGTTTTCATTTCTTTGATTTGTTTATTTGGTTAAGGTGCGTTTGTTTGTGTTCTGTGCTTCGCTTTGTATAGTATAGTTGTAGAAAACTAGTGTACTGGTCCTTTGAGTTTGAGTTCAAAGCAAGAAAGCAAAAACACAGAGAGAGAGAGAGGAGAGAGAGAGAGAGAGAGAGAGAGAGAGAGAGAGAGAGAGAGAGAGGCTGCAAAACCCAAATGATGCAAACCCGAGAAGAAAGGTTTGGAAATTGAGGCAAATGTCTACAATGCTGCCCAGCTCGAGGCAATCCTTCTCCTTCTTCTACAACTCCTCCTACTCTTCTTCTTCTTCTTCTTCATTCTCTGTTTTTCTCTGTCTCACACTATTTCTTCTCTACACACCTCCCTTTGTCTTTGCCACAAACAATGAAGCTTCTCTTCTCTTATCTTGGCTCCACTCTTCTACTTCACCACCACCTTCTTTCTTTTCTAACTGGAATATCCTTGATTCTAATCCGTGCAACTGGTCCTCCATAACATGCTCTCCAAAAGGCCTTGTCACAGAAATCACAATCCAATCTGTCCCTCTAGAGCTTCCATTTCCATCCAATCTCTCTTCCTTTGTCTCCCTTCACAAACTCGTCATTTCTGGTGCCAATCTAACTGGAACCATCCCCAATGACATTGGTGGCTGCACTGAGCTACAAGTCATTGACCTCAGCTCAAATTCTCTTGTGGGTTCCATCCCTGCAAGCATTGGGAAGCTTCAAAATCTCCGAGACTTGATTTTGAACTCCAATCAGCTCACTGGGAAAATCCCAGTTGAGCTAAGCACCTGTATTGGCCTGAAAAACCTTGTGCTTTTCGATAATCGACTAACCGGGTCTATTCCATCAGAACTTGGGAAGCTTACAAGTCTTGAAGTGCTCAGAGCAGGAGGGAACAAATACATTAGTGGGAGAATCCCAGAGGAGCTTGGAGGCTGCAGCAATTTGACTGTTTTGGGGTTGGCTGATACCCAAGTTTCCGGCTCTTTGCCTGCCTCATTCGGTAGGCTTAGCAAGCTTCAGACACTTTCCATATATACCACTATGATCTCTGGTGAAATTCCTCCTGAAATAGGTAACTGTTCTGAGCTTGTCAACTTGTTTCTTTATGAAAATAGTTTGTCTGGTTCAATTCCACCAGAGCTTGGTAAGCTGCAGAAGCTGGATCAATTAATGTTGTGGCAGAATAGTCTTGTTGGGGTAATCCCAGAGGAGATTGGGAATTGTAGTAGCTTGAGGATGATTGATCTTTCTCTAAATTCTCTATCTGGTACCATACCATTATCTTTAGGAGGGCTTTCAAATCTTGAGGAGTTCATGATTAGTGACAACAATGTCACCGGTTCGATTCCTTCGAATCTTTCCAATCTTACAAACTTGATGCAGTTGCAGCTTGATACTAATCAGATCTCCGGTTTGATTCCATCAGAGATTGGGATGTTGTCAAAGATGACTGTGTTCTTTGCTTTGTAGTAATCTCCAAGCACTAGATTTGTCCCACAATTCACTCACTGGTAGCATACCTGCTGGCTTGTTTCAGCTGAAAAACCTCACTAAGGTTCTCTTGATTTCCAATGACATTTCGGGTTCGATACCACCAAATATTGGTAACTGCAGCTCTCTTGTTCGGCTAAGGCTTGGAGACAACAGGATCGCTGGAGGGATTCCTAGAGCTATTGGAGACCTTAGGAGCTTGAACTTTCTTGATCTGTCTGGGAATCGCCTTTCCGGGTCAGTGCCTGATGAGATTGGGAGTTGCACAGAGCTACAAATGATAGACATCAGCAACAATACTTTAGACGGTCCATTGCCTAATACATTGTCCTCACTATCAGGACTTCAAGTCTTGGATGTATCAGTTAATCAATTTTCTGGCCAGATACCAGCAAGCTTGGCTCGTCTTGCTTCATTGAACAAGCTCATTCTAAGCAGGAATTCGTTCTCTGGATCAATACCTTCATCGCTTGGCCTGTGTTTGAGTCTGCAATTGCTTGACCTTAGCAGCAACAAGCTCACTGGAAGCATTCCAGTGGAACTTGGTAGGATTGAAGCCCTTGAAATTGCTTTAAATTTGAGCTGCAATGGACTCTCTGGGAACATCCCACCTCAAATATCAGCACTCAACAAGCTTTCCATACTAGACCTTTCACATAACCAGCTTGATGGAGATTTGAGTCCACTAGCTGGGCTTGATAATCTTGTCTCTCTTAATGTGTCTTACAATAAGCTCACCGGCTATCTTCCAGACAACAAACTTTTTAGACAGTTATCACCAATGGACTTGGCTGGAAATGAAGGCCTTTGTTCTTCCAACCGGGACTCGTGTTTTTTGAGTGATGTTAGCAACACAGGACTAGCAAGAAATCAAAATGACATAAGGCGGTCACGGAGGCTTAAGCTAGCAATTGCATTGCTGATCACCCTGACAGTTGCAATGGTGGTTATGGGGATCATTGCAGTGATTAGAGCTCGAAGAGATATTAGAGACGACGATGATTCAGAATTGGGGAACTCATGGGCTTGGCAATTTACTCCATTCCAGAAGCTAAATTTCTCAGTTGAGCAAGTGCTTAGATGCTTAGTGGATGCCAATGTAATAGGAAAAGGGTGTTCTGGGGTTGTTTATCGTGCTGATATGGACAATGGTGAAGTCATTGCAGTGAAGAAGCTCTGGCCAACAACAGTTGCTGCAGACAATGGATGTTGTAATGATGAAAAATGTGGAGTTCGCGATTCATTCTCAGCAGAGGTCAAAACACTTGGCTCAATCCGTCACAAGAACATTGTTAGATTCCTTGGTTGTTGCTGGAACAAGCACACAAGATTGCTCATGTATGATTACATGCCCAATGGAAGCTTGGGCAGTATTCTCCATGAGAGGACAGGACATGCCTTTGAATGGGAAGTTAGGTACCAAATATTGTTGGGAGCTGCCCAAGGCATTGCCTATTTACACCATGATTGTGTTCCTCCAATTGTTCACAGGGATATCAAGGCCAATAACATCCTCATTGGCCTTGAGTTTGAGCCTTACATTGCTGATTTTGGCCTAGCCAAACTCATTGACGATGGGGATTTTGCTCGGTCCTCCAACACAGTTGCTGGTTCTTATGGGTACATTGCTCCAGGTAAGTGTTCTTCTCTGATCATATACAGTTAGTTTCATGTTTCTCTTAACTTGATTACTTTGTTATGCCATTTTGTTTAAAATTCACAAACAATCACATGATTTTCATGTTAATGATCACCTATAAATGCATGATTTAGCCAATTAGCCACTTGAGCTAACTTCACTGCTCCTTTTCAGAATATGGATACATGATGAAGATCACAGAGAAGAGTGATGTTTACAGCTATGGTGTTGTTGTGTTGGAAGTCTTGACAGGGAAGCAGCCAATAGATCCAACAATACCAGATGGGCTACATGTAGTGGATTGGGTAAGACAGAAGAGGGGAAGCATTGAAGTCCTTGACCCAAGCCTACTATCTAGGCCAGAATCAGAGATAGAGGAAATGATGCAAGCATTGGGCATAGCCTTGTTATGTGTAAACTCAACCCCTGATGAAAGACCAACTATGAAAGATGTGGCAGCAATGCTAAAGGAAATTAAACATGAAAGGGAGGAATATGCCAAGGTTGATGTGCTTCTCAAAGGATCTCCGGCGAATGATGCTCGAGAAAATAAGAACTCTACTGGAGTTTTAGCATCATCATCAGCAGCAGCAATGAAAAGCTTGTTTGGCAAAAGCAACAACACAAGTTTTTCAGCATCCACACTACTTTACTCATCTTCCTCTAGTGCAAAAATGGGTTTCAAGTAATAAGTTATACAGAGCAGAAGATTGTGATGTTTTTAGTTTCTTCAGTTTCAAAACTCTTTGTGTTATTGATGTAAAGAAGAAAAGGTTGATATTTGTTATAATCAAATGCAGAGAAGCAAAATAAAGCCATTAGTTGTTAGTACTCAAATCATTCATATTTTGGACACAGATAATCAAATCAATTCATACCAGAAATTTCTCTAGGAAGGATAGAATCTTAGTTAACATTCCAGGAGAGGGGACTGAAAGATCATTCATGATTTGACCAATTAAAATTCTGTTGGGTAGGTCCCAAAATGAGCTGGCTCTCTGATTTCTTGCATGTGTGATAGAATAATGGGCCCTGGACTTTATGTTTCACTTTTCCTCATTCCCTAGTTGGTAACAAGTATGAAAGAATTGATTCCCAATTATGCACTCAGTGTACCTTCCTAAAGATCTTAGACTGATGTGCTGCTTTTATACAGCCAGGGCTTTCTGCACAAAAGGAGTTCTGCACTTTCAGTGAAAAAGGACACTGTGTGTCTTGTAAAAGACTTTGCACTATTAATTGTTTTTTCATTCTTATGGGCATCTAAATTCAAATTATTTCTAAGTGCTAAGCAATCTTTTATTGTTTAGTTCCCCAGAGCCAGTGAAAGATTTAAATATTTTCATGCCTTTACTGTACTGACTGCTAGGACAATTCTTTGTTGTACCAGTCTTGCCAATCAGACTCTCATTATTATCTATGAACGCTTACACTAGTTACTACCTTTTTTTTTTTTTTTTTGTTGGGGAGAGAGAGAGAGCGCTTATTTGTACATGTGAAGGGCTTTTAAAAGACAAACAAAGATTGACAGTTGGAGCACCATTCCTATGTGAGGGGTCTTTTAAAGCAAAAAGAGATTGACAACAGGGACACCATAATGCACTGAATCAAGCAATTACTAGCAGGAACAGTGTTTAGAGCCAGATTGTCTGGAGGGTGAACATTTTACTGGAACAAAAATCTGTCCTGCTTAAGATGCAAAAACTGTGGGAAAATATACAGAATCAATGTAGCCCATGAACAGCTTTATGAACTCTCAATTGCAGTTCAGCTGATGAGAAATGATCATTCAAATTTAATAGCTGAAAATAAAACACCCCATAGAGAATGAAGACTGAAAACCAAAACATTGTACAATTCCAGCAAAACACAACCCCAAACAGAATGACCAATTTATATATATATATATATATATTATTAGAAAGTGATGAGATATACTGAAATACTGTGGGTGCTTGATACTCTTCTTCAGGGTGAAGCAAGGACCAAGGATCTAGAAAAGCTCCCCAAAGCTTTAATATTGGCCGCTTGACTTACACATATAAACACACAAGTATCCTATGGAATCTATACACACTGTAGAAGGAAATTAAGTGACATGAGATGCAAGTACTAGCTTTTGCCTTTTGTTACAGAGTTGAGAGCCATGGTGCTTTGTAACAAGAAGGAAAGATGTGGAAGACTAGAAATAAAACAAGAAAAATAAAATTAATTTCTTCGAAATAAGTCAGGTTTGTAATTTCAGAATGCTAGTATATAAAGAAACTCACATCAAATGATGGAACATACATACATGAAGAAAATGTGGATTAAATTAACTTATTAGTTGTTGATGGTCTTCATGCTCTGTTTTTCACTTGCCCACTACTTTGTCCTTGATAATCTCAGTAGTGTTCTTGGCCACTCCCCATGCGCCTGAGACCGTGCCCTTTGTTTTGTCTGTGATGTTATCTGCTGTTTCAGATACCTTCGCTGTCGTATCTTTGGCCATTTTGGTCATCTGATCTCCCAAAACATTCAGAAGTTTAAGAACAAATGGTTTCTTAGTTCAATTCACATTGATAAGTAAATGCATGCATTGTTTTAAGTTAACATGTATATATTTTGTTATTTTTGTGCATTGCCGGCACTAGCAGAACTAGGATTTTTAGATTAGGAGGTTAAAACTTAAAACTCAATTGTAAATGGCCTTATCATAGAGGGCATGATTTTGGCTTCCCCCACCATATATATGTACTACATTCTTTGATCACATTGTAAAGCGTACAACCTCTTACAAAATAAACAAGTAACGTGTTTTTTTTAATAAGGTCGGCCCAAAGGTAAATCACGCAAGCTTACATCTTGGGTTAAATAAACACCCTATTCCTTGACTATTCATTGGATTAAGGCCCTTGTGTTAAATGAAGGCTTTATTTATTTGAGAGATTATTGTAAACATGAATTACGATTATGGTAATTAAATAGCTAAATCATTTATAATCGGACTAATTTTTTTCCAAGAAACTATGATCATTGAGGTGTTTGAAAAATAAACAGTTTGAATTTGAAATCACATTCGTGATCCTTATAAGATGTGAACTAAATAGTCAATTAGTTAGCGTAAAAACTTGGTTTTTTTTTTCCTTAGGTTGGAGAGAAATTCAAGTCCCACAAGCAAATTTTACATTTAAAACCGATCCATTAATTTGTCTATGGAATCGTAGTGCACCTACTCATTCAAGCATGATTGGTTTGTGTGAGTTGGTATTGAGCCTTACTGTTTTGGTAGTCTTTTCGATAGTGTCTCTCATGAATTCACAGGTATGTCTCACTTCTTTGGCTCCATCTTTGACTGCATCTGCTGCTTCTTTCGTCTTTTCACATGCATCTGCCTCGTCGTCCTCCTTCTTGGACTGCGGTTCACCAAAACTTCGTTAAGCAGCATAACATATATATAACATGATCCACACCATTATACAATAAAAGTCATTAAACTTTCAATGTTACTCATATTATAACACGTGTATATTTATTAACACTATAATCTAAAGTTTAAACATGTTAGTATTGCGTGTTATAATTTTGGGTAGGTTGAAATCACCACGTGGCAAGGTTAATTATTGTGCCATACAAAAATTTATCTGGTAGCATCATTTTAAATGGTTTTTTTGGTTTTAGACATAAAAAAATTTTCACTTTTGGAAAAAGCCAAAACTTTTTCAAAAAAGACAAAAAAACCACTCAACTTTCAAATCAAAGACATGCAAATGTATTGGATTCCTTAGAAAATCTAAAAATAAATAAGGGCATTTTTGTCCATTTTTGCTTCTTTTAAAAATTTTTTCTCTCCTTTTGCTTTTTCCAAAATGTCCCTCATTTAAAAGGCCAATCTTATTATAACAAATAGCAAGTGTCCAGCCAGTGACACAAAGAGGGGCATTATTTTGATGTTCTTACCATAATTTTGACAAGGTCATTGACCAATCTACAATAACTGCTAGTCTGCTACCGACAATGTCATAAAATATTTAATCAGTTATCGACAATGTACTAGGTATTGTTGATTGATATCACATCCCAAAACAATTTGGCTACGAATTTGAAACATGAATTAGAACTCACTTGCAAAGGTCTTGTGGCAGCAGTGACAAAAACTCTAGTGCTTAGGGTGGTAAGAGCGCCTCTGTCAGTTATTGTTTTGGTTGGGAGGGCTGCAGAGAGCTTTGCCATGAGCTTCAAGGATGACATCTTTTGCATATTGTTTGTTTTTATGGTTAGGGGTTCACTTGCAGAAAGTAGTTAAATCTTTGGTTGGTCTTGATCTCGGATTACTTATATAACGCTTGGGGGAAGAGGAAGTAAATATGTTGCCACATTTCAATTCCTTAACATGTTGTGTCACTGATTGAGCATATTTCTCTATTTTGTGGTCGAATGTTAATGTCAAAATGGAGCCTTCTATTCTGGGCACTCTGGTAGACTTTCCAGGAGTAATGTTAGGTGCTTCTGTTTCATGGTGTCAATTTTATATATATATGAAGCGGATTGGTGGAATTATATATATATTTTTTATATAGAAGTTATGATATATATTTCAACCATTAGATCTCTAAAATTTCAAGAGTTTAGTTGAGATGTGGGCAAAAACAAATTGTAAATCTTAGGTCCAGTCACTTTTAGACCCACAGATAAGAACTTGAGTGTGAGAATTTTGGTGTTGCATTGGAGATGGCAACGAAATCACTATTTATTGGGCTCAAACAAATTAAGAAGCAAATCACGATCAATCTTCTATTTTTTTTTTAAGGACCTTTCTTATTGAGATAATAGTATATTAAATTCACACATAACACGGATGTTAGGACTCGAATCCAGGACATTGACTGAGGGAATAAATACTCCAAACCACTATATTAGTGGGTCCTTTGCATCAATCTTTTAATTTTTGTTTTAAGAGAAAAAGAGTAAATGCAAATATGTGGGTTAGGTCAGTTGGCCAAGGTCCCTTGCACTCAAATTTAACCGTTCCTCGTAGATTAGAGTAATTTAGAATATCGCTTGCATCACAAAACAAGAAGAAGCAAATGATTGAGTAAAATCTCATATTCATTAATTTGTGGACCGATTAAGCATAATTGTCATAATAACTTATTCAAAAAGAGTAATGCTAGGATGAGATTCTGTATCCCCGTAAGCCAGTCCTCATATAGACTGACAATTCTGAAGTGAGACATTATGTTTCGCAACAACAAAACTGATAAAGTGGTGGCTGGCAGTCCCCTCCCTTGAAACCAATTCTCTGGCAAAACGCATTGCAATCAGGCTGGTCTTCACATTTTGCTCGACATTGCAAGTCGGCCATTCCTGAAACAATCCAAAAATTTAAAAGTATCGTTAATTAGCAATTTAAAACGAATTTAATTTGTAGCAAGAAAAGTAATGTTCGAACATTGTATATGATTTCCAAATTTCAACATACCAAGCGAAGAGAAGACCATGGCGATGACAACCAGCAAAATGGTTAACTTCTTGGCAATGATGCAAAAATACCCACCGGCCATTTCTCTTTGCTTTTGACTTCAACTCCTTGCAATGACGAGCCAATGGTGAATGGTGATGTTATTTATATGATTAGGAGAAGATCTAATTAAGGAAACATAATCCTAGGCTGACTCATGCAATTATGCCCAATATTTTTTCATCCTTCAATTCTCCTAAGCTTTTAAGGAATCATATCTCACTGTCAACCACTTGCTATATCTTCTGTGTACATTATTATTGGGTTATTGTTGTCTAGATTTTTTTTCCCCATTATTCTAAAGGTAGTAATAGAGTTGCCCTAATAAGTGGATATCCAGCCCCCTTAGGCTCCGTTTGGTTCACGGAATAGGAAATGGAAGATTCCTTTTTCACGTTTGGTAATGCTAGGAAAGTAATTGGGAAATAGCACTTTATTTCCTTTCCCATGTTTGTCTTGAGTATAAATGGAAAACAAAGTTTGTATAAATTTTCAATTATACCCTTATTAAATTAAATAAAAAAAATGCATGTAATGATATATTGTAATTTTAAATTGTTAATGGGGTCAAAATGCTTATGAAAAATGTGTATTTAATGTTGGTTCATTTCCTCAAACTTTCCCATGAGGAGGGAAAACAAAACTCAAGTTGGGAAGATAGCTTCACTTTCCCTCCTACTTTCTCATGGGCCAAATAATGATTTCCCATACCTGAACTTACCAAACATGGGAAAGTAATTGATTTCTCATTCTTGAACTTAGGGCAGTGAAACCTACCTTGATTTTACTTTGAGAAAACAAAACCTACCTTGAACATATTAAAAATATGCATTTTTTCTTTTTATATAATAAATATATAGACATTGTTCTCTCAAAAAAATAAAAAATAAATACATAGACATTTTTCACATGTTTTTATATTTTTCATTCTTTTTCATGATATTGCATTAATTGAATTGAAGAGTCTATTGGAACAACAATGATTCAAGTAGAAAATAAGACTTTTCAAATTGTCACGTAGGTCAACAAACTTCAATTTAAAGAGTTTTATTTGCTACTACTGTTGGAGATGCTCTTACACCCAAATTCAAATTCCCCATTCCATATATTGGATTAAATTAGCCATATTTGGATGCAAGATTGAATTTGGAATTGAATTTCCAAATCTATAGATTTCAAATCTCCTAAATTTGAAATTTATTGTAAATGTATGAGATGGTGGATGACCACCATACCTGTTAGTATTACACCCTTGTATTTATGTAATTTATGCACTAAGTATTTGTAATTAGTGCTTGTAACCTATGAGTATATTGTAAATGATGATATTCAATTTCCTAACTTGTAAGAGCATCTCCAACTGTCGCAAATAAAACTCTTCAAATTGAAGTTTGTTGAGCCAATGGCAATTTGAATAGCCTTATTTGCTACTTGAATAATTTGAAGATGACGTGATAACAAGTTTAATCATTTGAAAAGTGAAAAGCAGGTCGAGTAGTGTGATAACGATCATGTATGAAGATAATGTTGCGTGTATTGCTCAAATCAAATAAGTGTTCATCAAAGGTGCCATAGCTTCAGAAAAGCTAAGAGATTTGAGTCAAACAAATTCATTCACAAGATAATCTGGAGAACCTTTTTACTAAAGCTCTTTCTATATGCAAGAAGTTATTAAAGATCAAGGGGAGTTATCAATCATGGGGAGCATCGAAGTTCTACTACATCGGACATATGCTCAACGTGCTATTAGACCACGTTTTAATCCCATGTGGTTTTTCTTAATAACAAAGTTTTAACGAGGCATAATAAGCGCGTTGAAATTGGTACTTAGGTGACAAATGGTAGATTTAATTACACAACCAAGATAAAACAACTCAGCAATCTTCACACACTTTAAACCTTGACCAAATACACGTATGACTAGTCAACTGCTAGTCATGAACAATCACAATCAAGAGAACACACAGATCAT